AAAAAACAAACAAAAAAAGGGGGGAAAGATTACATTCCTGTTAGAACTATATCTATAGATGGTGACTGTGGAGAAAGTTTCCAAATTAAGAAGAATGAGAGCATTCAGACTTTTTCATTACTCTCCTGAAAGTTGAAGTAGTTGACTTGTTAATTTCATCAGTACACTGCAGCAGTCCATGTACACAAGTGCTGATTCTCTGAGCATTTTTTTTTGTTTTAGTTTTGGCGTTGCTTGCTTTAGGGATGTGCAGTCACGAGAGAATGAATTTTGAGGAGGTTGCCTATATGCTTCAAACCAACTCTTCTTTTAGGAGACTGGATTTTAATCATGCATTCATATACTTCTAAGTGTGGCAGGATTGAGTTGCTTTTGTAGTGTTCTAAAATATGTTTGTGCCATGTTTCTAAAATCAACAATATGAAACAATTCAGTGTAAAGCATGTTAAATCTAGAACTCACACCACCTCAGTTAAAGGCATGTTTCTTTTGTGGCCATTGCTTGTAGTAGGTTTGATTTTTATTTAGAAACAGAACTTCAGACATTGGAACAACATTGGTGTATTTGTTGTTTTGTGTTTGTGTGTTCATTTAATAACAAACCTTAACAAATAATTTGCATTATAGTGGAAATGATGCCGCATCCATCCACACAAGAGCCAAGTTGAGTGAAGATGGGAAATACTTCTTACTAAATGGTTCAAAGGTATTAATCCATTGAATGGAGAGGTTAAATACATATTTCTGCTATTGTTTTTGGGTGGGTTTGGAGGGTTTTTTAACAACTGTTCTTGCCTCGTAAAGCATTGCCAAATTAGACGTGGGCTGGCTTAGCTGAATCAAACTTGGGTATCCCAAGCTAGCAAAGAATGATCACATAATAAAGCTAGTTCGCTTTGAATCAGGGCAGAAAGAAATTGTAAAGTGCATTGCTCAGGGACTAAACTCTAGTAACCTTTGATAAAGATGGGGAACGTCTCAGTTTGTAAATGTTCTTCGGGGTTTTTTGCATCTCCAACCCCCTACTTTGTGCTTTTCCTGACTCCCTGTTTCTAACTTCCCCAGAGAGCTTGAGATTCAGCCTTCTCTCTGGATGCAGAAACATGGAAGAACTCCACAACTTTTCTTTCTGTTCCCTTCCTTCCTTTAGAAGGGATGTTGCAGGCTCTTTTAAAGGAAAAAATGACACTTCTGGAAGTAAAATTGGAACTGCATTGTATGGCACTTTTTTGCATGTATATCTGTGAAATGTTCTATTTTGGTTTTATTCCAAAATACAATAAAGCCAGATTTCAAGACTTCAGAAGTCCTCGTAAAACAAAATTGTTATCCTCTGGTTAGTTTTTCTTGGAAGTAGTGATTGTCTGAGGGCCATTGAACCCCAGTGTCTGCCAGGAGACTAGAACTTGGGATGGTGAATAGGGGAGTTTCCCAGGGCGGTTCTGTGCTTGGACAATGTGGTATGAAATACAGGAATATTTTGCCAAAGCAAGAGAAAATATATTCTTCTTTATTTTTCCTCCCCTTCTTACCTCCCCACCCCCAGGTCTGGATATCAAATGGTGGCCTAGCTGACATTTTTACTGTTTTTGCAAGGACTGAGATTGTTGATGAAGATGGCATAGTGAAAGACAAAATTACTGCCTTCATTGTAGAAAGAGCCTTTGGCGGAATCACAAATGGGAAGCCTGAGGATAAATTGGGCATTCGAGGATCCGATAGTAGGGAGCACTTTAATTTTTTCTTAGAAAATTCTTTTTCAGGTTTTCTTTATTTATCTGAATCTGTATTTCTAAGATGAGCATGCACTAGATTGCTGAATCAGGTTCATGTTTCCCACCTAAATTTCTTCTGCAGAGCAGTGCCCAAAGTGTATTTTCACAAATGTAAAGATCCTATTAAGTAATCCATTTTCAAGTATCTACATCCCATTAAGTAATCCATTCTCAGGCATATAAAGCCCATATTTTGCTCTGACAGTTTGCTACTGCATGCTGCACTGAGATAATTCAGTAATAATGATATGATATACCTGTACTAGAATTAGGTTTCTCTTAACTGCTTCTTCTATTTAATGCTAACTCTGGGACTTAGTCATTTTGGGATGTCATCCAGATTCTCAGTTTAAACTGACAGGACTATTTCTCTTTTGCTTACACTGTGTGCAAGTCAGCAATATTAATATTTTTGCTTTTTATAAGTTAAAATGTCAATTCTGAATTTGTCCTCATTCTTAACTATTTTGGCAAAATCTGTTTAATTCTATTAGATCAGGGGTGTCCAACCTTTTTGAATGTGGGGCTGGATCATGAACTTTTTATCACCCAGTGGGCTGGTGAGCCATATTCAAAGGCCTCACAGGAAGCAGTATCGCATCCCCCCCACCCCGAAACGAAAGTACAGTGTTTACTTTTGTTTCCCGTCGCTGCACCTCTGGCCTCAGAAAACAGCTTGGGAGGGCTGCATGGTGGCCCACGGGCTGTATGTTGGACAAGCCTG